GATGAACAGCATGGGACAATGACCTCAGGTTCTGGGCTATCGACTGGGCCTTTAATGTCTAACTTCTATCCCTTCTTGTGGCAGCTAACCCTCATCTCTTCCAGGACTGGTCCCCAGGGTGTCATTGGTCCCCTTTACTGACTGGCTGTGCATTCTCAGCAAAAAAGACCTGGGGGGGCACTGACAGCGGGCTCACCCTGTGGTGTGGGAACAGGGGAGCTGGACTCACAGGAAATACGCTCGGGCTCACCTGGAGCCTGCCAGGAGTGCCAGAGCTCAGAAAGGACAAACGAGCCAATGCCAGCCTGGTTTGTCATATGCAGCTGCCCAATAACCCCCAACCTCAGCACCGCCTTGGAATTAATTTGCTTATTTACACCTCTACCTTTGGGCAGAGCTCTGTGGAGGCCCCAGCATCTCAGCACCTGCAAGCAAGATCATGAGCAAAGGCCCTGTGGCGTTGCTGGGGGCTGACAAACATGACAGCCGAGTGACAGAACTCGGCTGGGTCCGGAAGGCTGCCAATAGCTACTGACCCTCTGGGCCCCTCTTCAGGAGGCTTCCCAGGTCCCATCGTGGTGAGCAACTGCCCTCAGAACAAGAGTTGAGATTCTCGGCTCTGATTCAGTTAATGTTAGGTGTGGTTTGTGGCTGACAGAAACTGTGAATGGTGAAATCTCAGGTGGTGATGGCTGCTACTCCCCGCTGAAGGGAAAAGAGAAAGGTGTGTTTTAGGGGTAGGCTCACAGTGGAGACTCGGGACTGGTAAACTGAGAATAGCGGAAGAACAGCAGTTGGGACTGGAAGACCGCCATCTGCCACAGGTCCCCTGCCTGGCCAGCCCTTCTTTTCTGACTTCCCCTTCACTGATTGTACCAGGCCCACCCCTATCCTGAGGCCCATCGTCTTTACTCTAAGTCCGTTGACCTAAATGCTAAGCTAATCAAACACAGAAACATCCAGAATAATGTTGAACCACCATTAAATTGACACATGCAATCCCACATGCTCCACCAACAGAAACTGTAACACCCAGAGCCTTCCGTCACTCCCGGGCACAGGGTGGGGAGGAGGAGTGGGGTCTGGAAGGTACAGCCCCACTGACATGGTGCCTAGCTCACCCTGTCAGACTGCTCCCAGAGTGCTCCCAGAGTGCTCCCAGAGTGCTCCCCAGCCTCACAGTAGTGCCTGCCACGGCTGTCTTCTCCCTCCTTTGCCTCCAGTTAGACTCTCATCACCAAACTTCAGGATCAGGAATGACACCTATGACTCTGGGTTTCTATCTCTCTGGGTGTGGTGGTGAACACCTGTCGTCCTTGAGGACTTGGGAGACTGAGGCAGGATGATCAGGAGTTAGGCTTGTCAGGATAGCCTGGGCTACATAGTGTGATCCTGACTCCAGATATAAACAAATGAAATAGCAGCACCAGCTGAGTAGCTGGTGTGGGGGTCACTTTCTTGGACCGCCAGCCCCCAAATCATGACACAGAGACTTATTAATTATGAATGCTCGGCCTTAGCTTAGGCTCGTCCCACTATCTCTTATAACTCACTTTAACCTGTTTCTCCTCTTCTCTGTTTTCCCTTGGGGCTCTTTACCTTTCTTTCACTCTGTATGTCCTACTTCCCTGCTTCCTCCGTGTTTGGTTGGCTGGTGGCTGCCTGGATGACTGGCCCCAAACATCTCCTTTTTTTTCTCCCTGGTTCTTCCTTGAGCCTAGACGACTCCTCCTCCTTATCCTCTGGCTGCCAGCCCCTCCTATCCCTCTCCTGCTTAGCTATTGACTGTTCAGCTTTTTATTAGATCAATCAGGTGCCTTAGGCAGGCAAGGTAAAACAACTGCAACATATCTTTACATAGTTAAACGTTCTGCTACACAAACAAATGCACCATGTCTTTACATATAAACAAACATTCTATCCCACAACAGTTCATATCATAGAAACCCCTCTCTTCCCAGGTACCACCTCTGTGTACTATCCTACACTCGCTCTCTGCTTTCCACTGGGCCACCTTCCTGACCTGTGAAGGATTAAGAACTCATGGCCCCACAGTCTGAGCTGGAAGGTCTGCCTCAGGTCCAGTGGTCACTGGCTCCGGCTGCCCTGAGCAGCACTGCCCACAGCACTTTCTGAAGTGATGGAGGTGGTCACCATTTGCCCACCTAACATTTAGGCCACAGCATGAGCGACTCCCCTCGGGTATTTGCAGTGATGCAAAAATAAATATAAATTATCCTGTCATGCTCATGTGTATTTCTCACATGCCAAGCAGGTCATAGCTGGGACATATTCAGTGGAACAAATACTTATGAAAATGGATTTCAGGGCAGGCAAGATGGCCTAGCAGGTAAAGTACTTGCTGCCAAGCTTTCTGACCTGAGTTCAATCCCTTGGACCCACATGGTAAAAGGCTAGAGCTAACTCTTCAGATTCTCTCTCTCTCTCTCTCTCTCTCTCTCTCTCTCTCTCTCTCTCTCTCTCTCTCTCTCTCTCTCTCTCTCACACACACACACACACACACACACACTTTAATAAAGTAGTTTCAGGTTTTTATGTCATTACTAGCAACTCCTATGGCTCCAGTGGGCGGCTCCCATTCTGTTTCTGTTAGATTGTCTGTGGTTAGACATGTATGTATCCATGTTCACGTATGTGTGAATGCACTAATGTGAATGAATGCTTGTAGCTAGCCAGAGACAGCTGTCAACATCTGTCCCCCTGACTACACTGAACTTCAAGACACAGTTCAGCCAGGCTAGCAAGCTCCAGGACCGCCACGCCCATCCCCACCTCCTCAAGTTGGACTATGAGTGCACTGCACTCCACCCCTGCTGGCTTTCCCCTGGAATCCGGGGCTAGGACTCAGGTTCTCATGCTTATACCGCAAATACTTCCCAGCTTGAGCTGTCTCCACCATCTGCTGGCAAGGTTTTAGTCACCTGGGCGTTCTCAGCCATGTGCACTGCAGCCACCTTGCTACCTAAGCTAAGCTAAAAACCACAAGGGGCACAGCACACGGTGAGGCTGTGAGTTGAGTGGGAAAAGCTGAAGACTCCCTACTTCCTCTTTGTCTCGTGGCTCTGATTCCTTCAAGATTAAATTCCCACCCCCAGCCCAGCCTTGTTGACTTCTGGTGACTCAAGGCCTTCCGGATGCTGTGGGCTGTGAGGCCAGGCCGGCCTTGCCTGAGTAGAGCTGACTCTGCACATATGCCAAAAGAACCCCTAAATATCTCCTGTCCCTTGCTCCCCCTGCCCTGTGCTCCAGCTCTCCCTCAGCCACCTGAGGCTTCCCCAAATAGCCACTGTTTCCTCACCAACCCAACACAGAGCTGGGCAAAGGCTGGCAATGGTTTATGGGATACAGTATGAAATGCTGATGAGACTCGATCTGGGAGGTAGGACTGGGGTGAGGAGTAGGGAGGACACCCGGCCTGAGCAGTCAAGTCTGAACAAACTAGATCCCACTCAGGCAAGACTAGAATCCAGAGGGGAGGGTTTATAGCATGGACATTTATGTACTGCGGGCTGAATACTTTGTGTGTGTTTCCAAGCCCATGGAGTAGGTGTTTTGTTCTCATATAGCAGAGGATGCTGTGTGAGAATTTCAGAGAGGAACAGCATTTAACTCAAGGTCACACAGCACAGGAATGTGAAAGCCTGCGTTTGGATTTAGAGCTGTTGCCTCTACAAAGATGCCAGCTGAATAGCTCCCTGCAGCCCATTAGACAGCAGAGGACCCAAACCTCCTATAAGACTGGCCAGCAAAATAAAATAGTGTTACTGTGTTTGTGTGTGTGGTGTGTGTGTGTGGTGTTTATGTGGTGTGTGTGTGTGTGTGTGGTGTATGTGGTGTGTGTGTGTGTGTGGTGTTTATGTGGTGTGTGTGGTGTGTGTGTGTGGTGTGTATGTGTGTGTGTGGTATGTGTGTGTGATGTGTATGTGGGATGTGTGTGTGTGTGGTGTGTGTGTGTGTGGTGTCTCATTGGCATACCTGGTACCTAGGCAACCTGATGTGAACTCTGGGCAAGTAGCAGCCCCAGAGGACCTGAGGACTGGCTGCTTTTGGATTCTGTGTGCCAAGGCTCTTCGTGGGGGCCTGGGGGTGGGAGGTGGTGCCTATGAAGGCTCCTGGCTTCCTGGTGGGGCTCACTGCCCTCCGGGGGTCTGGTTGCAGGTGTCTCCCTCAATTATGTCTTAGTGAAGTCACTTCCCCTATCAGGCCTTAGCCCATGGTCCAGCAGGATGTCCTTATAAGGGAAAATGGTTGGCTGTCAACTGTGTCCCTTTCGGGGGGGGGGGGGAGCATCTCATGAAGGAGGAGGCCTCTTGGAGACAGAGTCCTGGTGTTCACATGGACTGATGCTGGGGAGAAGTCTCTGCACACTAGGTGGGAATGGGTTTCTCAGTGACCTGGAGTTACACCTTCAGGGCAATCACCACAGGGACATGTGCAGCTGTTGAGCACCTACTGTTTGCAATACAGGGTGCTTTTATTGTTCTCTTTCCCTGGTTGTTCCTGGTGGCTAAGAACAGCACAGTGTAGCCTCAGCTGGGGTCCCTGTGGGCCTCCTGTGGCTTTTCATCCCCAGAATCAGAGCTCGATTCCTCTGGGGGGCTTAACTATGGGAGGATGGATGATGGGGAAGCAGGGTGGAGTTCTTAATCTGGTGTTACTGTTAATGATCTGCATGGTTTCTCTGAACCTCAGTTTCTTATTCTTTGAAATGAGCTAATTCCACCTTCCTACCCTCAGAATCACAGGCAATGCTTGGAAAATGTCTCCGCCCACACCCTCCTCCCACCCCTGGCTGCCCCTGACTGTCTTTCAGGAGAGGATGAGGCAGCTGGCCCAGCCCCCAAGAGGCATGATGAGACAGCCAGAAGGGTTTGGTTAAATGGAAGAAAGCAGAAGCCACAGGACTCTCTAGTCCCTACACTTCCTCTCCACCTGCCGTGGCTGCCACAGCAGCTGCCTGAACACAGCTCTCAAAGACCATGAGGGACAAGAGAGGAGCCACGGAACACCTCATCAGGTTGGGGTAGGTTTGGGGACTGGGACACAAGGTGCACAGGCAAGAAAAGTCAGTAGCCCCTTGAAACGGGCGTGAACTCCCTCCGGTCTCAAGCCTTCCCTTTGCCCGCTGTGACCACCAACAAACCCTCACCTTTCTAGCCTCAGTTTCCTCTTGGTAGAGTGGAAATAATAGCAATGGCTGTAAGGCTGTGTGGGAACAGAATGAGAGGCGTGTGCCCAGGATGCGCTTCAGAGAGAGAGAGAGAGAGAGAGAGAGAGAGAGAGAGAGAGAGCTGTGTCACCCCCTGCAGCTGAGGCTATCAGGCTGACTGCACCTGACATGGCTTCCAGTTCTTAAAATCATTTATGCTCCTTGAATTATTTCAGTTCCCTGTTCCAAAACGAATTATGCTGTGTGAAGAGCAGTATATCGTCCCACCCCTCACTGTACTCAGGGGCCAGGAAGGGGATTCAGGTGTTGAAGACTCCCAGATGTGCAGCAATGACAAGCACCTGGGCATGTAGCCCTGGAGACGGTGGATGTCCAGCTCCATCTGCAGCAAAGATGGCAGTGATAAGCCAGATGTCCGTGTTTCATGTCTGACCCCATAGCTGAATCCAGCTATGGTGTAACCTCCCACCTGCTGTCACTAGTGTGAGCACCTAGGAGGTCAGAGTCCGTCTGCCCCCTTGCTGCTGTGTCTTCAGCGCTGAGCTCACAGTGATCGACAGATAGATTTTCGCTGGAGGCAGGAGAGACAGCTCACTCAGTACAGTATCTGCTGCATGAGCCCGAGAACTTGATTTCAGTGCCCAGAACTCATGTGAGAAAGCTAGGCACCCACAATCCCAGCTCTGGGGAGGTGGACACAGCTCCCTGGGGGGGCTTGCTGGCCAGCCAGTCTATGCAAATTGGTGATTACCAGGCCAATGAGAGACCCTGCCTCAGAAAAATGTGATGTAGGTCTTTGAGACATCTCAGTCAGTAAAAGTATCTGATACCAGGCTGGGAGACCTAAATTCAATCCTTAAAGCCCATGTGACAGAGAAGACCTACAAGTAAGTCATCCTGTGACTCTTGCAAGTTGTCCTCTGACTTCTACCCCCTCCCCCCACACACACACATACATGTGTATGCACACACACATGCATGTACTCAGGTGCACACAGGCACACACACGGAGGCATGCGAGCATCCACACCCCACACACAGGCACACATGCCCCCAAGCACAGCCCCACATGCACACACATACACAGAGGCTTGCAAGCAAGCACACACAAAATTCAAACGTAATTTAAAAATTGCGGCACAAATGTGTAAAACACTATAAATAAAAACAAAGGTTAGTTCAATGACTCATATAAGCCTGGTTGAAGATAAAAGGCCCCCAAGAGGCTGACGGGGCCATCTCCCTGCCTGTAAATGATGGAGGGGACACTGGGATCTATAAAGAAGAATATGAATGGAACCAACAGTGAGCCACGCAGACAGTGGGGGAAGGAAGGGAGAAATTGCCTCTCCTCATTCTCCCCTCTTGCCACATTCCCTCTTTCAGCCACGCCCATTCTCCCTACACAACTTACCTGCTGCTCTCAGAGCCTGCAATCATGGCCTCAGTCCAGACATCCAGCCTCACATCCTCAAGTATTGCAGACATTAAGCTGTTGACTGATAAATCTTCCTGGGGAATGCTCTAATTGGTTCAGCTTGTGTTATTCCCTCCCCCCCACCCCACCATCCAACCCCCCCACCCCGGTCATGGATGGAATACATACCTCTGCTTGATCTAACTGGATAGTGTGCCTGTCCCTGTGGCTAAAGAGTGGAGTCTATTAGCACACAGGCTATTAGCAGAGGACACCCTCACCCTCCTAACATAGGGCTCTCCCATTTCCTTGTGTCCAGGTGGAAGTTCTGGCGCTTGGGGATCTGCAAGGCACTTGTCCCCCTGCAGACTGCCTGGAATGCCTTCTCCCGACCTGTCCCAGCCAGCTGTTGTGAACTATTGACACAGCTGCTCCTGTGTGTTTCCCTGGCCTGTGTCATTGCAGCCCTGGCTCATCACTGGCTGGTCTCTTCACAGCTTTATCCTCAGGGGCCCCCTGCCCTGGTGATCACTGTCTGTGGTCTCCTGGTCTTCCTGAGCCTGGGCCTGGTGCCCCCCATCCGCTGCCTATTTGCACTCAGTGTGCCTACTCTGGGCTCTGAGCAAGGTCGTCGGTTGCTCCTGTCCTACAGCGTAGCCAACCTGGCTGTGGCTGTGGTACCAAACATCATAGCCAACGTGGGTACAGCTGGGCGAGTGCTGAGCTGTGTAACTGAGGGCTCATTGGAGAATCTGCTTAACACCACTTACCAGCTGCGCTTGGTATCCCAGGCACTGGAGCCAGTCAGCCAAGCAGGCAGCCGGAGCCTGGCATTCGAGACACAGGGCAATGGTTCAGCCTTCCGCCTTCACACTCACAGGGTCAGTCAGCAGATCCTGGATGACTTCTCTAGTCTGGAGCTCCTGGCTCAGGCAGCACTAGGGACTCAGCGGGTGGTCACCGGGCTGTTTATGCTGGGCCTCCTGGCTGAGTCTGCCTGGTACCTTCACCGCTACCTCACTGACCTACGCTTCGACAATATCTATGCCACCCGGCAGCTGGTTCGGCAGCTGGCACAGGCTGGTGCCACACATGTGCTGGCCTCTCCACCTCCCTGGCTGCTCCAAGCAGCCCAGCCAAAGTTGTCGCACGAGGAGCTGCTGAGCTGTCTCCTAAGGCTGGGGCTACTGGCTCTGCTCCTAGTAGCTACAGCTGTGACAGTGGCCACAGACTATGGGGCCTTCCTCCTGGCACAGGCAGCTGTGGCCTGGGCTCGGAAGTTGCCCACTGTCCCCATCACACTCACAGTCAAGTATGATGTAAGTGCAAGGAGGGGATGCTCTTGGAATTATTCGGGCGGGAGGGGTCTCTTCAGTACTAGGCTTTCATCTGTTTGCCCACCCGCCTCTGTGTCATCGTCCTTGGATATGCCTAGGAGTCATAGGCAGATGCTGTGGAGGCATGCAGAACAAGAAAGCAGAGGGGCAATGCAGGAAGGGCTAGGGCAACATCCAGCCCCCAGCCACCCCCAGTGACTGCTTCCTCCTGCTGGGCTGCACCTGCTACTTTTTTACTTCCTTCCAACAAGGCCTTTGGGTCGTAGAGCCATCAATGAATCAAATAATTGAGTAATATGAAACCCTCATCCTCCCTGAAAACACCTTCACAGACACACCCAGAGTGTACACTGCTGATGCCCTGGATGTTTCTCAGTCCCATCAAGCTGATGAGACAATCACAACACCAAAACCATTGGTTAGTGATTGGTGGAGGGTTTTTTGTTTGTTTGTTTTAAGCAGGGTTTCGATACGTAGTCTTGAGTGTCTGGGAATCATAGAGATCCACCTGCCTCTGCCTCCTGAGTGCTGGGATTAAAAGCGTGTGCCACCATTCCTGGTATACCCAGTGATTGGGTGGAGCCCATGCCTTCCTGCATGCCAGGCAGTCAGTCACTCTACCCTGCTATCAGGCGGTGAAAGCTGAAGGACCAGAGCAGAGCAGCCAGCCACTAGAGCTCTTACCTCTACCAATGCTGGACCAAAGGGGCGATCCTGTCCTCACTCTGCTGCCTCAGACTGCCGTGAGCTCCTGTCTCCTCGAGCCTTATACTCCTCTCTCCACCTAGTCATATCATTCCTGTCTGCACCTCCCAAGTGCTGGAGTTAAAGGCATGTGATCCCATGTGATCACCTTTGTGTGAACCGTTTCTCTTTTAGACTGGATCAATTTTTGTGCAACCCGGGGTGGCCTTGAACTAACAGAGATCTGTCTGCCTCTGTGTCCCAAGTGCTGGGGTTAAAGGCACGTGCCACTACTGCCTCGCCTCTATGACTAACTAGTGTGGCTTCTGGGATTAAGGGTATGTGCCACCCCTACCTGGCCTCTATGGCTAACTAGTATGGCTAGCTTTGCACTCTCATCTTCAGGCAAGCTTTATTTGTTAGATCATAAACGAAATATCAACATATACTTTGCTCAAAGGTAATAAGAATAACAGGGGTAAGATCTGTATGGTGCTGCTTTGCTAGCTCTTAAGTCACAGTTGCGGCTCCCTCGGCCCATTCTGTAGGTGGCAGGGATAGGGAATGAATGGCCTGATGGCGCCTCTAACTCAATCCTTTTCTCTGTTTTGAAGGCCTCGTATACGCTACTAGGCTTCATCCTCTTCATCCTCAACCAGCCTCCGGTGGAGAGCATGGTTGCCTCGGCACAGCGCTCCTTCCAGTGGGAGCTGTCCTCCTTGCCCCAAGACTGCCACCTGCCTCAGGCTCAGCCACCTCGAGTCACTGCTGCATTGGCCTCGGGCTCCCTGCAATTGCTGGCGGGCACCACCTTAGTACTGCAGACCTATGCTTGGCGCCTGCGGCATGCCATCGCTGCCTCCTTCTTCCCAGCCCAGGAAGCCAGGAGGGTTAGCCATTTGCAGGACCGGCTGCAGAGGAGACATGACCGGATTAACCGCCTGGACAGACAGGCCTGCACCATTGGCACCTGGGGACCCAAGGAGCCTGGGCAGGGGACAAGAGCTCCAGAGTCACAGGGACCTCAATCACTTGGTTCCTCTTTGTCCTTGGTGTGACCTTGGGTCATATCTCAGAGCCTCGGTTTCCATATCTTCATAATGACCATACATGGCCACAGTGATCTGCTTTTCATGTGAGATGTCCGTGAATCATGGCAAATGGAAAGCCTGGAAGAGAAGGCGTGGGTGCAGTAGATAAGGCTTGGAAGTTTGGGAGGACCAGGACAGCTCAGTTTCTTCCCGCTAAATGGAGATTGCCCCGGTAACATCACATGGAGATTCTGTCTGTGGATTGGCCTCAGCACTCCTCTGACTTAGAAGCCTCTGAACCCTCAGAATTTACAGTAATCGGAATGTTTTTGTTTATAAGTGAATATATTTATTAAATATAAGAGTAAGCGGATTTGCTGTTTCCTGTTCCTTCAGAGCCATCTAGACTTGTCAAGTCTAGTGAACAGACATACAAGATGCTCTGCCCAGTGTTAAATGTCAGAGAAGGGTTACATTTGTTTAGCATCCAGTCACCTTTGGCTATGAACCTGTCCTCTGGTTGGCCATGTGTGACCTTGAGTTCCCCATAGTAAAATAAAACAATAATAACAAAATGACAATGTCAAGTTCTTATTGACTTCTGTGATTGGAGAGTCAGACAACACCCCATTCAGTAAAAAAAGGATCAAATATTCTGAAGACTGAACAAAGGAGTTAGCTCTGTGGAGGGGGTATGTGTGAGAGAAAAGTAGAATGGAAAATGTAAGTGGTACTAGCTCCAAAGCCTGTATGACCATTGTGAAACGTGAGGCTCACATTTATTTTCACAGCATCAGTACCACATATACACGGGTGATGAACCACATCACTGTTACTGTGGCTACCACAGATTCTTTAGCATCTGCAGTGGTCTGAGTGAGAATGCCCCCATAGGCTCATATACTTGAATTCTTGGGCCCCAGTTGGTGGAACTGTTTGGGAAGGATTAGAAGGTGTGGCTTTGTTGAAGGAGGTGTGTTGCTGGAAGTGGGCTTGGAGGTATCAAAAGCCTCACACCATCCCCAGTTAGCTCTCTCTGCTTCGTTTTGCTTATAGATCAAGATGTGAGCTCTCAGCTCCAGCTCTGGCACCATGCCCACTGCTGGGCTCCTCCAGTACCATGCCTGCCTGCTGCCGTGAACCCTGCCATGATGGTCATGGGCCCTAACCCTTTGGAACTTGAAGTCCCAAATGAATGTTTTTCTTCTGTAAATTGCCTTGATCAAGGTGTTTTATCACAACAATAGAAAAGTAACTAAGACTTTTTTTCCTTTTTTTATTTTGTTTGGGGATAGGGTCTCATGTAGCCAGTGCACAAGAGAAAGACACTATGTGACAGGGTCCAAGCAGAGGTTTGTTTTTTTGTTTTTGTTTTTTTTAAGAGAAAGGATCGTAAAAAGGGGAGCAAGGAGACTAGCCTCCAGGGACAAGAGCAGCAGGAGACAGGAAAGAGGGAGAGGGAGAGGGGAGAGAGAGAGGAACAGACAGACAGAGAGGAAAAGAGAGAGAGAGAAGGATGGGAAGTAGGAAGGGCCCTTTTTAAAAGGGAGCATAGCGAATGTGCACAGGTGGTGCTCTCAGTGGCAGCAGCTGACTCAGTGGCAGCAGCTGAGGCTGTATCCCGTCAGGACCCAAGGGCAGGCCAGCATGGAGACTAACACAGGCTGCCCTCAAACTCACTATGTAGGCAAGGGAAACCTTGAACTTCTTGATCCTCCTGCTTCTACCTCCCAAGTGCTAGAATTACAGCTAGCCCAGAACACACAGCAGAAAGGGGGGAGAGTCAGCCTCAATCAAGGGAAGGTGAAAACGGACACCAGAGGCTGCCCTCTGACCTCTACATGAGTGCTGGGCCCTGCACATTCCCAGAGGTGTACAAAGAATCATGCATGTGCATGCACACACACATATATACACAAACTGTGCACACACAGGAAAAAGAAAAGAGAAGGAAGGAAGAAAGGAGGAAAATTTAGATATTTTTCTTTCAAGTATAGATCCCAATTATAATATTTAGTATAATTTCTCTGAATTAAGTACATCCAGTAGTATTAAAAACAAAAAGGTGATTAAGTTCAGGCTAAATAAACAGACTTGTATTTCCAGTCTGAGCTCTGCAGGACAACTGAGCTGGAAAAGAGAGCAATTGGTGTCTTTCACTGGCCACTAACCCATCCAGGGTATCTAACCACAGGAACTTCCGAAGTCCTGCCTCCTGACACCATTACTTGAGGAGCTACGATGTCAGCATTTGAATTTAGGAGACATAGACCAGTCTCCTCAGGGACCTTACAATGCTTAGATAGCTCTGTGGGAAGCAGAGGGACCCTTTGTGATATGAGCTCCATTCCAAACTCCCACATGGGGGAAGAACTGAACTAACTCCCCTGAGGCTGTCCTCTGACCTCCACATGTTTACCATGGAATGCGCACACACACACACACACACACACACACACACACACACTCCTGAACTCACAGCAGCCTACACAGAATAAACCTATCAGCATTCTAGAATGGATTGGAGAAGGACACACCAGGCCTCACTCCTAGCTGAAGAGCTATTAGCAGCCAACGGCCGGCGGGGGGGGGGGGGAATCCTTTTTCTTGAGGGGTTGCCCATACTCCAACAAATAGCCCCACACCATGCACTTACTGGCAGCACTAATTGGATTTGTAAAGCACTTGCAATTCCCAAAGAATAAAGTATTATAATAAATAAATAATAGAGCGGGGCTGGGCACAGAACAAGTCTCTGGAGTGTTGATGAGATGAATAAGTGAGTGATGAATGGAGACTTGCATTTGCCCTAACACAGAACCCTCTCAGAGATTTAGCTCCCATCTTAGCAAGTCTGGAGTGTAGAAGGACTCACAGGGGCTTCTTGTTTGCCGGCATCAGAAATTATCTCTTGGTGTTAGGAAGGCCTAGGATCAGAAGAGCCCTGGAGACCCATATAGCAGGGATCACGGACAACCTTACAGCACCCATGCCAGGACGAATCAGTCTCCCATTCTGCTCACTGTTCAAGTTCAGACTCATGACATGCTTGGTTTAGGTCACACAGCCTCACCTTGGTTAGGAAAAAGGTGGGATCCCGATAGTTTTACTGGTTGGGTAAAGCTCTGTCTAGTGGTTTCTTCTCATTCGATGGAAATCGGCGGGTCCTTGGGTGCTGTGCAGTGCATAGCCTGTGAGAGCGCCTGTACTGTATTCTTGAGTAAAGGCTGGGGTAGTCCCCCAATGGAAAAGTGCCAATTTCATGAGGCTAGGGCAAAACAAGAATCCCCACAAATTAGTTGACTCACATTAATGGCAGATGGATACATTGTCTGAAGTATCAGAAAGAATTAGAGCCTTCCTCGGTACTCCTGTTACCAGGCCTGCTTGACTAAGACCACCTCAGCTACTGAGACTTCACACAGAAGCCATCCTAGCTGCTAATGAAGTTCACGGAAGCCTCAGGGGAAAAGTTGGCTGGAGACTCTTCTGCCATCTAGTGGTCTCTGTGGGAAAAACTGCATCGCCCCATCGTTGTGTTCCGTTCCTAATGGAGACGGATGATCCTAAATTCAAGGTGAGCAGAGGCTACAGAGTGAAACTCTGCCTAAAAAAAAAAAAAAAAAAAAAAAAAAAAAAAAAAGGGGGGAAAGTTGCTACATATCTTTATGCACAAGTTTAATTATTTCTTTAAGATTCTCCATAATTGTTAGAATAAAAGGCATATGATCTCCAATTCGAGTGCAGAATATGTCCTAGAAATGTGACAGGAATGACAACTCTACTCAACCTGACATGGAATATTTTTCCAATTCCATGACCAAATTGATTTCTTTTTATCCTTACCAAGATAGCCTGCCAAAAATGTATGTAATTTAAAAAGCATTTTTCACTTCTTTGACCTACAGTGTGATTGGCCATTACTTCATATCTCTATATATGTATATGTATATATATCCACATGCATATATATGACTAATTTCTAATTCATTTCCAAATCCTCTAATTAATTTTCTTTTTCATGCCTTACTCTCCCTTTTAAAAATAACTAGATGCTAATTTTAAATGGTTTCTCAAAGCACTATTAGTAAATGGAGGATGTACTACTCAATTTAACATTGATTATATATAGACACCAACAGTATTTTCCCCATACATTTGCTTTTGAAATCTGTCTTTCCCCAAAGAAATTTCAGTTTCCTTTTTTTTTTTTTGAAAAAAAATTATTTACTTGGTATGTACGTATGTACACACGCCACTGTGAATGCCGCGGCACACGTGTGGAACTCATTGGACAGCTTCTTTCCTTGCACCCTGCGGGTCCCTGCATCTAAGTCATTAAGCTCTTCAGCAAGTGCCTTTGTCCACTGAAAGGTCTCCACGCCCACCATGTATTTACTGTTTCATAACAAACTACCCCCAGACGGGATGGCTTAAAACGATGCCGCGGTTATTTCGTTTATGTTACTTGTTTACTGGTGTTGACTGTGTGGTTCTGCTTCGTGCGATTCTCTGTGCAGCTGAGTCCCCCCCCCCCACACCTGAAGCCCTTCCCCTCCCAGGGACTTGGCTGTGCACAGTGCTCAAGGTGGCTCGCTCCTGGAGGCTGAGATCATGACAAGGATGCGTGGCTGGGCTGCTGGGAAAGATTCTCCTGTTTCTCCACGTTGCCTCTCGGCTCTGCTTCTTTTGGTTTCTGCTTGATCTCTGGTAACTAGGTAACTAAAGTCTTGCACAGGCTCTAGGAACATTGCAGGCAAACCTGACGGCCAGGACATCACAGGTTGGCTTTCTGAAACCTGCAGTGTTCCTTCTGATGTCCCTTTGTTTAAAATCACAGCACCGCCACATTGGATGTGGGAGTCAATATGCAAGCATTGGATCCCTGGAAGTCTGGCTCACTGAGAGCCATCTCTCAGCCTCTGCCCCTCAGAGGTGTTAATGATGACAGACAACCGTGTTAGAAACCTCCAGGCCTTCCAGTGAGTAAACATATTACATAGCATTACTCTCTCTCTCTCTCTCTCTCTCTCTCTCTCTCTCTCTTTATATATATATATATGTATATATGTATATATACATATATATATATATATTATATGTATGTATACAATTTGTCTCCATGGACGAAGGGGCTTGCATTATACATAATTGATGCTGTTAAACTATATTGTTAAGGGACTGGAGAAATGGCTCAGTGGTTAAGAGCACCGGCTGCCCTTCCAGAAGACCAGAGTTCAATTCCCAGCATCTACCTGGCACCCTCTTCTGGCATCCTCAAGCACCAGTTTTGACACACAAGTGATGGAGAGACATACATGCAGGCAATATACTCATACATAAAAAATAATTGAAAAAGTATACTTTACTTTGTCGTTAATTATTGTGATTTCCCCCTCTTTAAAACTGGCAGAAGAGTATGCACCTGTCGGTAAACTCAAATAGCTGGAAGTATGCAGCATGGATATTAGTTTCTTTTTAAGGTAATTATAGACTGATTCATCTTTAATTGTTATGTGTTTTCTGTAATTTTGGGACGCTTGCCATTATTTTTGCATTCTGAAAGAACCTTTCAGTCATTGTTTTCTTAATACACTGTTGGAATTTCTTTTCAGGTCTGTAATTTTTCTTTCTTACACTTTTTTTTGTACTCATGGTTCATAGCCCATTGATTAAACCCAAGAACCTCAGAGGAAATGGGCTGGGCGGAGGCCGCAGAGCCTTGTGGGAAATGTAGTCTCGGGCAGACAGCAGCACCCTCTAGAGAACCGTGGGAATGACCGCACTGAGACTCTACGCGTGCGCGGTATCCGAGCTTCGATGGATACGCTTCCGGTTCTCTGAGCCTTACTAGGCTAGGCTCCCGCTGGTCCTAGGTGCGACTGTTCCTCGGGGCCTTCTGGGAACTATAAGAGAAGCGAGGATTCCCCGGAGCCAGAGAAAGACCAAGTAACAGGCTCGGGTCAGGATCGGAGAGACCGGGGCCCGCGAAGGTTGGCGGGTGTCCGCTGGTCATCACGGGGCTGCAGGCCTCGGGGCGGGCATCCTGGGAAGGAGATGTGTGTGCATGCAAAAATTGGATCGCAGTAAGTCCTGCGATGTCCTTGAACCGGTAAACCTTCCAAGCTGCTTACAGGTGGAACTGCGATTGAGGGAATGAGCAGGTCCAGATTGGGCGGAATGGCGCTTCGTTGGAGGGTCTGTCGTTTGGAGGGAAGGGATGCCAGCCACGGCTGAGGAAAAGGTCTCCATCACATCGGACAAACGCATAGAGTCTCCATTCTGTTTCTCCTGAGTTGCTGAAACCACTCCCATCGCCGCCCTGGGGGGTTATTGACTTCCAACGTACAGAATGACACAGTGTACCTACAGAGAAGGTTTTAGAGGTATTTAAGCTTACCTTCTTTTCAAATGAGCAAGGCAGCTATTTAAACCACTTAGGTTTAATTCTGGTCTGTTGATTCCCAGGTCAGACCTTTCTTTGTACTCAACCACATTTAAGCAGAGTCTCCATGTAACTGCAGTTAAGGTCGGGGAGCGGAGTGGCAATTATCTTAAAACCCTCACTCTCACTCCTGTCTGGGTTTTCTGATCTCATCTGCCAAACACATTAGTAGGAAAATAGGTGAACCAAAAAATAAACAAATAATTGATTAATTAATATCTTAGAGTCACTTTCTTGCTGGACTGCTGGTTCCAGGTTTTATATATGCTAAAGTTTATTGATTTGATCTAATGTGAACGCCTAAGTGTTGTTCGGATTTTTTTGTTTTGTTTCATTTTTTGTTTGTTTTTTTTTAAGGAGGCATAAATAAGACGTTCAGTTTAACACCTTGGTTTCCATTCACACAGAAAAGTTCACTGGTCCATTCAGAGCTACTCGTGGGCATTCCCTCGAGCAGTTGCTTCCTGCATAATAGTGATGAGAGGTCCTTTCCTGCCATGGTGTGTCTGTGAGCCACTGTAAGAGCTGCCAGTCTACTGACTCCATCCCAAATTCTTCCTCACCTAGCCCTTCGATCACCATTCCCGGCCCTTTCTTGAGAGTACCTGAAAATGGACAGTTCCCAGGTAAGTCACGGAGGGAGTAGCTTCCCATCTTGGGCAGTGGATTAATTGTCATAGGTTTGCAATGTCTACACTCAGATGAAGTGGTAGAAATATACAATTCAGCACCAAGGAAAATAAGGAATCAGATCAACACTAGACAATCGAACCTCACTAAACAGAAACTATTATGGGGCACATCTTTAATCCCAGCACTTGAGATGCAGAGGCAAGTGGATCTCTGAGTTTGAGGCCAGCCTGTTCTACATAGAGTTCCAGAGCAGCCAAGGATACACAGAAAAAACATGTCTTGAAAAATAAAGAAATAAACAGAAATTACATATCCCTGCAAGTTTATACAAGTTGTACAAGAAAGACCCAAGTGATACGAAATAGACCATTGCTATGGTTTATGGTCATTTATTTATAAACATGTTCTTGGACAGTCGTTGAGCAGAGGATGCCAAGTCAACTTTACCAACAACAGCTGTGGGTTTCCTGTGATCTATATCTTGGTAAAGCCTACTAATTACAGATGTCTCTGATCTGTTATCGGGCCATAGATGGGCTTCTGATCACTCTCCTTGCTGTGGTATAAAACCTGGAATAAGTAGCTTGCATGTGCCTCAAATGATGACCTGTTACTATTTTTTTTTTTTAGTAATTATTTTTCTTTTGTGCTTTTTTTTGGGGTGGGGTGTGGATACTATAAAGCGCAGATAGGCCTCAAACTGCTAATTCTCCTTTGGCCTCCTGAGTGTTTTGGCTCTACAGGCATCACAGGCACAATTTGATTTTAGAACCTGGGGTAGAACTATCTGACTTACCTGTCTAATGTCAGCTCACCCCATGTCTACTGCCGCTGTTGTGATCACAATTAGTGAGCAGATCTGGTATTTTCAAACCTATTAGGCACTTCTGTTCCGTGCGTCAGCAAACTCATTGTTGCACTTGACAGTGTGACAGTCCCTTCCTAAAATGTGCTTCCAGCCATTTCTAGCCTTCACAGGACTCTGGCTCTCATTTGGAGTTTTAACTGGCAACCCTTTGAACTCTGAAATCCTCCTGCCTCTAAGAACCTCAGTGTGGGTCCTTGCTGTACTTCTCCGCGAGGGTCCTCTAAAGGCCCTTGGAGTCCACTGTGCAGAACAATGATGCTGACTGTCTGCCCATTGTTCTCCTTCCTCATTGTCCCCTGCCAGTGCCACAGATCCTTCGGTTACACAAGCTAGAAAGAAAATGAGGCACAAAGCCAGGTGTGGCAGCTTATGCCTGTAATTCCAGTACTCTGGAAGCTAATGCCGGGAGAGCCGCTATGGATTGAGGTCAGCTTGGGCTACAGTGTGAAACTGTCTCAAAAGCGGGGAGGGGGAGAAAAAGAAAATGATGCACATGTTAAGTCTCCTGTTCCCTATCTCGAGTCTCAGGCAATGTCAAGCCTTGTCAAGGTCTCATGAGTATCAGTATTCTGGCCCTACTTCCCCTGCCTCATTTTCTGTCTGGGGAACTATCATAATAGATTTCTCAATGGTCTGCCCACCTCCTTCTGAAGTGCGGTTTGCACTTGCCTTGCTAGCAATACCCATCTAATTCATGTCTCAGTACCAGGCCTGTCACAGCAGGTCTACACTACTTATATATATATCCAACACTGCACCATAACGCTGTACCTCTAGCTTGGCAAGAGCTAACACCTCTGCCCTTGTGGAGCTCAAGCTGCTTCAGGAAGAGTGGTTTTCTTGTTACTGACACCTAGGCAAGGCTCAGATCATTAGAAACAGATTTGCCATTGGTGTGACCAAGACATTAGAAAGTTCCTCAAGTCTCGGGGCACCTCTTCTCTGTAAGCCTATCCTACACATTGTGGGACATATCACGTGTCTACCATCCCTTGCTCCATGTCTCCCTCCCACTGAACTGCAACGGCCAGCCATTTGTGTCCAGCTGTGAAGTATGACACCAGAAGCAGGTTTTAGCCCCAATGCAGAAGGGGAGTATTGTGCCTCAAGTTTCCTGATCATGCACCAGATTTTACTTTGGACCAGTTCCCTACTATTTAAATGATTTCTTAATTCTTCAGGTTACTTGAGACCACAGACAGAGCTGTTTTGTTGTAGAACCCATTCCTGTCCCTCCCTTTCATCTTCCAGGCTATGTGTTTAGGGAGCAGAGCAGCTGTCTCCATTTCTGCATCATTGTAGAGTCTGTCTGCACATTGCCTGTGGGGCTGTCTACATGTGAGGCCGTCAGCCTTTCAGAGTGTGGGCCCGTGGCCTCTTCCCTCTGTGCCTCTGCCCCTGTGTCCCTTACAGTGAGGCTTCCCAGTCTCTACCTTCTGTTTTTCCTTTGTTTTCTTTCCAGACTGCAGAGGGCTGCTACAGAGTTGACCTGAGTCCCCCAGAATGTTTTTCGTCATTTGTTATGAGCACCGTGCAGTCTCTTCCACAGGGAGCTATGGGCTATGGGCTGTGAAGGGCAGCTGAGTCCGTCTCTGTGTACAGAGGACTCACAAGTCAACTCGTCACCCAACTCTCACTGGCTTTTTCCTTCTAACATTCTTACAGTCACCCTCTGTAACGTGTATGGTTTTTCCGCCCGCCGCCTGGTATTGTCCTGCCGCCGCACCAGCTCCAAATAATATATAGAGACTCTGTATTTGATACAATACTGTTGGCCCGGTTACTTGTTACTTATCGGCTAGCTCTGCCTTTAATTATTAACCCATTTCTGCTGATCTATGTATTTCTCTTACCAGGGAGCCGGCGGCATACTGCTTTCTTCAGACTCTCCATCTTGACTCCTCCTTCCTACTTCCTATTTCCTCCTTGTCTCCTAGTCCCTCCTATCTTCCTTTCCTATTGGCCAACAGTGCTTTATTATTAACCAGTATGAGAAACATATACAGAATGGCATCTCCCATCATCTCCTCTTTTCTGTCTAAATAAAAAGAAGGGTTTTAACCTTAACATAGCAAAATATATCACATAACAGTTATCAAATAAGAATCACAGTTAACACTATTTAGTCCATTAACATTTAGCAAGATTTGAAGAAAATATTCCATCATCTATCATATCTTTGTGTGTCTAAAGTCTAAGTAACTTATCTTTAATCCTAACTAATGAAAACTATAACCATAAATATCTGTCTTTAACTCCATCAAAGACCACAGAAGGATAGTATATAAACTCTAGAAATGACAGAGACAACTCATTGCCTGGTCACCCGAAGTTCTTTTGTAATCTTCCATCTTCAGCCCATAGGCCATAGTGTGTCTAGTAGACTCTTCAGCAACGCAGGAAATTTTAAACTGTCTTTTTGTATTGGCAGTTTGACAGTCACTTTTTTCTGTGTCCTGCATACTGTCTCGCAGACTCTTCCATGAAGCAGGAACTCTGTAGCAATGTCCATCTTGAATCAGCAGTCACTTTTCTGTGGGTCCTGCATGTCCAGTTTATACAGAATAAAGTCAAACAGTCCAGACAAGAGCAGTATCTTGTCCAAATGGCTAGTTTTGCCATATTAGAAGCAAACTCTATAACGAGTTTCTTTAATGTCCATCTTCCTTTTTGACGTAGGTGGTGTTGCCAGGAGCATTTATGTCTCACCCTAAGCCATTTTAAATGTCATATTTTGTAGGTCTTTGAAAGGTTTGAAGAATGCCTATCCATCTCAAATACATCTCTGTATATCTAGAAATCCTAACTAACTTAACTATAAGTTTTGACTATCATAGGTAACTGTCTATAATCTGCACTACATTATACATTACATTTCTAACTGAGCTCAATAAACATAATACCTAAACAAGAGGAGAAATATACATATTATCAAATTGACTTTAAATTTGTATCAATAAATGAAAATCCATTCAAAAACAAAGTATTCATATCTATACCATAATCCCCTTTTTACCTTTAAAAAGAATTGGCTGTGCTCATTAACCATTTATAACCAAGTCCATTTAAATGAAAACAAACATTTATAAACAATATTTGGGAATTTGGGCGTCGTTTTTTCCAAACTACTTTCTGCTGACAGGGGGCGCTGTCATGGGGGATCCTGAGAAGAGGCAGAAATCTTGGCTGTAGTTTGTAAGGCTGTTTTGTTTAGTTGTTTTGAATGTAGGATCATCTGGTATTTTGTTTTAGGCGGTCTGGCTTGATCAAACCATATTAGTCTGGAAGGAATCTATAGCTTTTTATTTTTTGTGGAAACAAAAATAGAAATTCTTTTTTTAAGTAACTTGTTTTTAGACTTAAATTTTTGAGTCAAAGCATTTTTAAAATATATAAATTGAATTAATCTAGTAGCATTTTTTTTAATAGTTGTTGTTTTTTCAGCAGTCAAACAATATAAAGACAATATAATACCGTACAGTATATAAATTTTTTTTATCTGTGGCTTTTTATTATTTTGTTTTTTTTTTATTTTTTGAGACAGGGTTTTTCCTTGTAACTCTTATCTGTCCTGGAATTTACTCTGCATACCAGGTTTACTTTGTCCAGCTGTGAAGTATGACACCAGAAGCAGGTTTTAGCCCCAATGCAGAAGGGGAGTATTGTGCCTCAAGTTTCCTGATCATGCACCAGATTTTACTTTGGACCAGTTCCCTACTATTTAAATGATTTCTTAATTCTTCAGGTTACTTGAGACCACAGACAGAGCTGTTTTGTTGTAGAACCCATTCCTGTCCCTCCCTTTCATCTTCCAGGCTATGTGTTTAGGGAGCAGAGCAGCTGTCTCCATTTCTGCATCATTGTAGAGTCTGTCTGCACATTGCCTGTGGGGCTGTCTACATGTGAGGCCGTCAGCCTTTCAGAGTGTGGGCCCGTGGCCTCTTCCCTCTGTGCCTCTGCCCCTGTGTCCCTTACAGTGAGGCTTCCCAGTCTCTACCTTCTGTTTTTCCTTTGTTTTCTTTCCAGACTGCAGAGGGCTGCTACAGAGTTGACCTGAGTCCCCCAGAATGTTTTTCGTCATTTGTTATGAGCACCGTGCAGTCTCTTCCACAGGGAGCTATGGGCTATGGGCTGTGAAGGGCAGCTGAGTCCGTCTCTGTGTACAGAGGACTCACAAGTCAACTCGTCACCCAACTCTCACTGGCTTTTTCCTTCTAACATTCTTACAGTCACCCTCTCTGGTTGTCAAGAGTATATGTATTCATCGTCTCATCTAGGTTATCATGGGAATCAAAAAGTACTGTTTGTTACCAGGGAGCTCATTTTGGAGGGAGTGATTCATAGAGAATATTTAACACGGGTAGTGACCTGCTTCTAGGAGACAGCTATGCGACCCTGAAGGAAGGGTGCCATCACGCGTGTGTGCAGATGTGTGGCAGATGAGGAAGAAAGGCTCAGTGATCTGAGATAGCTATGCATGTAGTAGAGCATGTGTCAGGCCTGCTACACAGGGAGCAGGTGGGCTTCTGCGGAGCTGGGGTGTTCGCGTGTTACTGCTGCACTTGGGAATGAATTCAGACCAACCTAAGTACAGGAAAATCACGGACAGTTCTTGTGTGCACTTTGCCTGGCGTCCTGGGCCTGTCAGTACTGAAGAGCAGAGATCAGAGCCAGGGAAACCTGCCAACCCAGATCCGTTACTGTTCAGACGGCAGTGCTGACCATACTGTCTTCAGCTCAGGGGTCCTTCGGTTGTCATGTCTCCATGGCCTCTTGCAGTCTGGGATGGCCCTTTGTCTCATATGACCTTTGAGTGGCCAGTTACCTTGTAGAACACACTCTGTCTATTATTCTTATTTGTAACTCCACTGTCTTGTGACCTGCACTCTGTTCACTTACTTGTCCAGCCAGGTTCTCGCTCTGTACCCTGTTTTATTTCACTTGCTTGGTTTTTTTGGGGGGTGGGGGTGGGGAAGGTGCAGCGGAGGTTGGCTCATTGCTGTGGTTCTAAGTCAGACCTGTCTAGGGAAATCTATGTAGTGAAATGCCTTTGCCCTTCTCTCTCCCGCCCTTCCCCCATTCCATTGTTTTCTCCCTCTGTCCTACCCCTGCAGGTGACAAGTCCGTTCATTCCTGCTGGGCCCTTTCTGTGTGTGTTTTACTGTGTGTGTTTTACTGTGTGTGTGTGTTGTTGCTGCTGTGTTTTCTTTCATCTCCTTTCTTACCTAAACTTACCCTGTAGAGATCTTCGTGCCTTTTTCTTCCTTCACAATGCCATCTAGACTCATTCCAAGGCACTCTGGAGACCTCCTCATTTGCCTTCAGCCCTTATTCCCTGTTACTGTTTGTTCGCATTCCTTTGTGCTCCAAACCCAAATGCCCACCAGCCAGGGTAGCTGTCTTTACCCCTTTTTGAGCTCAGCATTGCAGGTCGGTACCTTCGCTTCCTGTGTTGGTGTGTGGGTGGGAGGAGTTTACTGCTGGCTTTCTAACATTGGCACATGATGTTGGCAAGTGCCCAGCTCTGGTCATGCCATAAATCTGCTCATAATGCCTCCAGCCCATGTGTGATCTGTCCCTCTTGGTCAGCAAGTAGCGGAGTACTTTTATCTCACCTACTGACACTCCCTGTAGAAGGGCATCCTAATTTTATCCCTTTGATCAGCCCTTTTAGCTGCTGCTTCCCCTGTTTTCAAGTATGGAGCAGCAAGCTTCTTCTGGGGGACCAGATAGTGACTGTTTACACTTTTGTTTGGATACAGTCCCTTTTAGCTCCGAATGCAACAGTTGATACATGAAAAAGTCATGAGCAAACTGAATTAGGCACTGGCCAGATTCAGCTGCTGTGGCTAGATTTGGCCCATAGGCAATGGCTTGCGTTACCCATCCACTACAATGTTGCCTCTAGAATGCACACTGGGTCCTACTGCTCTGGGTGTTTGCAAACACCTCTGGATTCGCATGTTTCACACAAGTGGTCTCCAGAGGGGAAGACAAGGAACTCCCCTCTCCCAGCAGCCCTTGTACTTCTATTCATGTTCATATCTTGGCCAGAAGCTTGGGGGAAAAACAAATCACTAATGGTGTTAACATGGTTATTGGTAATAACATATTGGTTAACTTAGAATTACATTATGATTTCCAGGTAAACACATGGGTCGTCTGTACAGGAAAGAGTGCTTTACTGTTGTGTTGCAGTGTAGAAAAAAACCTAGATGACTCATTGTAGGACAGGGTGCCCATGTGCTCTGCCCACTCCCCAGGTTTCTCTCCTACAGAGGTAGCTCTTTGACTGACATCTGTGTTGCGCCTCAGTGTATTTCTAATGAACACAGAAGTCGGGTGGCACAAAATAAGACCATTTGTAGTTGCCCTTTGTCTGGTATGTGTGTTCCTGCCTGAAGTGCAGTTTCTGCTTCTGTTACTTGTCATCCTGGGTGCTCCTTGAGAGCACCGGCCATATTGCACATGAATCAGTAATCTGGGAATTCCTGGGCACAGAATAAACTCTGCACATTTAAAACGCTCATTCGTAAATAGTGAGCGGTTTCTATTCTTTCGTCCCCTGTGAAGTAGCTCTCCATAGCTTAACATTGGCCAAGCATCACCCTCCTTATGTTTGATGTCCCCACAGATTTGCTGTTGCTCAGTTCTGATTATCTCAAATGAAACATGTTCTTTCAGAGATTAGTTTCCTTCAAGGATTTGACTGTGGACTTCACCCGTGAGGAGTGGCAGTGTCTGGGCCCTGCACAGCGCCTCCTATACAGAGACGTGATGCTGGAGAACTACAGGAACCTCATCTCATTGGGTGAGTGCAGTCTGCACATGGCACCCAGGGCTGGCCTTTCTTCTGTGTCACAAGAACATGGGCAGATACCAGAATTGAATTCTCTCTCCTTGAATAACAAGGGAGAAAGCTGATGGCAGTTTTTGCATGTACATGCTTGTGCATGCGTGTACCTGTCCTTCATTAGTTTGTACTGGCTTCATGGAGCTGCTGTTGGGCATCTTGGTTGCTCAGTTTCCCTATCCTTCAGTCCTTGAAGTCCGTAGAGGTCGGCCCAAGTTCCATGCTATTTCTCATTAACAGGGTTTCATGTTAGCAAACCAGAAGTGATCTTAAAATTGGAGCAAGGAAAAGAGCCTTGGATATTGGAAGAATTGCCAAGTCAGAACCATGCAGGGAAGTGTGAAGACCGAGCAGGTAAATGCCAAAGAATTCAAGTCCCAGGCTGGTTAGTGGTCACAGCTGGCACCTATATGATCCTTTTTTTCTTTTTTCTTTCTTTCTGGTTTTTTTTTTTTTTTTTTTTTTTTCTTTTCTGGAATCTTCTAGGACCTAGAGCTCTAGAAGTGATTGAGAAAACTAGCTCCTATGCTGTATATACTAAAATGTTCTCCCCAAATAAATGTTTTCATATAAAAATGTTTGGCTGTATAGTTCTATCCACAGAGCCCATGCTCCTCCATCGCACGCTGATTTCTCCACTCTCCCCCACTGTGCCCACCGAAGTGCCGTGCTTCCTCCTTGCGGTCCGTCCCCACTCGCCTCCCACTCCTACTTCCCATTCTCCATCACATTTGTACACATTCCAAAGTCCTCAAGTCACTGAAAAGGTTTCCAGTCCACCCCTTCCTCCTGGTGTCTCTTGAACACGGGCCTTCAGAGGGTGGCCTCACCGGGTCTGTGCCTGGTGGCTTTTTCTCTAAGGTTCCCGCCAGATCCTTGTCCATTTCACCCTGTCAGCCATACTCCCAGGAAATGTTGGAGACCGTTCCATGTTGGAATGTTTCTGTCAGTGTCCAAAGCTCTTGTGATCTTTGCCAGTTCCTTTTTTCTTTGACACAGTTAAGGAAGATGATGTAAGTGAACTTGCTTTTCCTCCCTCCTGCCCTTCCTCTCATCCTTTGTGTTATTGTTTGTTTGTTTCCCCTATAAATACATACAGTAGGAGCTATTTCCACTTGGATCTCTAACCCTGGGAAGCCAGCCCTGAAGGCTTGGTCCCCGTAAACCTTTGTACAGGTTGCCATTTCAGAGGTGCACAGAGCTCACATATTAATGTCAGTCCTGTTCCTCCCTTCCAGAAGATGATGATGATACCTCAGAGAAAAACAAAAGAATACAAGACAAATGTTTGAAGCAATTCTTAGCCTTCAGTAACAAAACGATGCCAGAAAAAGCCACTCTGTTTGAGAAAACAGTTGCTCTTGACATCAATACTATTTCTTCAGAACAAATGTTCCATAAATATGACCCGGGTGGGAACGGCTTGAGAACTAAATCAGAAGAAACTGTTGCAAAGCAAAACAAAGCAAAAACAAAGGTAATCGCTGAGTCTGATGGGTGTGAGATGCCACTGTCACCGCTCCACACGAAGCCTGACAGAAGCCATTCTGGGACAAAATGGAACAGATGTGATGAGGTTAGGACTGTTAGAAGTCGAAGGGAAGATCTTTGTCAAGACCAGAACATCCAGTTTTTAAGTCAACCTTCTGAACATAATAAGGGTGGGAAACCCGTCCTGCAAAAGTCGGCCTCCTCTGCAGGAACGGAGGAACATGCCCAAAGAAAGCGAAATGAATGTGCTGAGTGCAGGAAAACCTTTTCTAAGAGGTCCACCCTCATTGTACATCAGAGAATTCATACAGGAGAGAGACCCTATGCTTGCAGTTATTGTCGGAAAACTTTTCGCATAAAGGCAAGCCTCACTCGACACCAACGAATCCACACCGGAGAGAGGCCTTATAAATGCAAAGAGTGTGGGAAAGCCTTCATTGACAAATCTGCCCTCATCGTGCATCAGAGAATTCATGGCGGGGAGAAAGCCTATGAGTGTAACGAATGTGGGAAGACCTTCTTCCGGAAGTCAGCCCTGGCTGAGCATTTCAGGTCACACACAGGGGAGAAGCCTTACAAATGCAAGGAGTGTGGGAATGCCTTCGGCAAGAAATCTTACCTCATTGTCCACCAAAGAACTCATCAAGGTGAGAAGCCAAACGAATGTAAGGAATGTGGGAAAACCTTCTTCTGCCTGTCAGCCCTGACGGCACACCAGAGGATTCACACCGGGGAAAAGCCCTACGAGTGCAGCGAGTGCGAGAAAGCGTTCTTTTGTCAGTCGGCCCTCAATGTGCATCTGAGGAGTCACACCGGGGAGAAGCCCTACAAATGCCGCCAGTGTGGCAAGTTTCTGTGCACTAAGTCTGCTCTCGTTGCACATCAGGTCATCCACAGAGGCAAGAGGGCTTTCGAATGTAACGAATGCGGGAAGCTTTTCTACCTGAAGACGACACTCAGCATACATCAGAGAACTCACGCCGGAGAAAAGCCCGGTGTGCTTAGTAAATGGGGCCAAGAACCCACCGCCAAGTCCAACTGCAGTGAACAGAAAAAAGTGGACACAAAGGAGAATCATTATGAGTGGCCCGAGCACAAGTGCACGGTCCACAAACGCTCACGCCACTTCGCACACTCGAGAACCATATGGGAGAGGCCTTACGAGTGTCCCGAGTGTGGGCGGACCTACTGCCGGAAGTCCGCTCTCAGGCACCATCAGATGACACACACGGGAGAGAGGCCCTATGAGTGTAAGGAGTGTGGGAAAACCTTCTGCCAGAAAGTCTCCTTTGTCGAGCACCAGCGAACTCACACTGGGGAAAAACCACATAAGTGCAAACAGTGCGGGAAATCTTTCCGCCACAAGTCAGCATTCACAGTGCATAAGAGAATTCACACAGGGGAGAAGCCGTATTTGTGTAATGAATGTGGCAAAAGCTACCGTCGGCTCTGGACTCTGACTGAACACCAGAAAATACACACAGGGGAGAAGCCCTATGAATGTAACACGTGTAAGAAAACATTTCGCCATAAGTCAAACTTCCTTTTACATCAGAATACTCACAAGAAGTAAATTCCAGCAAGGTAACAGGTAATTTGCATACTGCCCAGATCCTGAATTTTGCATAAAGGAGTGACACCGAGTCAGCATCTGGACTACTGGAAGATTTTCTGCTGACATCAGCCCTGTAACACCAGAGAGCTCACATAGGCAACATACAGTTTATCTAATGAACTTCGGACTTTCAGTGTTACTGTAAAAACATTCAGCATTTCAAACATTATACCAGGTGTGCCTGCCTCCCTTTCAAATCCTGAAACAAACAGTAATCCCTACTTGGTTACCCTCCACAGTCAGTTTACATAGTGTGTGTTGCCAGATGTGAGGGTCCAGCCTTGATTACCTGTTGTTCCTGTGATAATTTCTGATATTCCTGAATAGTTTCTATTTGTGAGTTTACAGTATTAACAGCTCAGACTATACAGCCTGCTCGTCTTCTGTCCCTGATGTTGTCTAGTGACAGGCCCCAGCCCCTTTATCTGCAGAGGTGAGGAGGCGGACTAACCATAGTCCCCTTGCCCCCCTGCAGACTCTCATGCATGAGCATTTGCTGGAGCTGAGTCACTGGAGTTTTCTCATGAGAGGTCGCATGTAAGTGTGCCCCTTGGAGCTTTCGGCAAGCTAAGAAAGCAGCGATGACAGGTGCCATAACAAGAACAACAAAAATGGAGTAAGCAGATTTGAATAGTGAAGAGATTTGGGGAGTGTTGGGATCAGAACACTGTCTCTGCTTTAGGATTTTAAATACCTCTGTCCCCTTAGTGGTTTGATTATGTCAGTGTTGAAAAAAAAAATTCTCAAATTTCTAATAAACATGTCCTTAGGGGTGTTATTTAGAACTAGAATCACATCTAGCCAGAATGCCGTTCATACAGGGTTAATGTCAAGTCCTGGTAACCAGCCCTGTGCTCTGATGCATTGTCATTTCCTAGGACAACGCAGTGAGTTGATTTCATTGACAAAACAAAGAAGAGCCACTGGGTGTCCTGCCCTGGGCCTTGGCTTTGACCAAGCTGGAAAAGTGGCGTAATGCTGTCACTTGGCTGATCAGTTTTGGCAATGAAAGTCTTCACTTGCCTGTCTGCTATATCTGGTTGTGGTGCAGGGTTCTTGGTGGGGAGAGCTGCCCTTTGTTTGAGAGACCCATCAGTGGTCTGTTTATTCAGTTTATGTTTTATATCCTTCAGTAAGGTAAACACATGTTTGTGAATGCACATGTATTTGATGCATTTAATATATACTGAAACATGAATATATGTGGTGTATCAATAATCTTCATGAAATTTTTAATAATTACTTAAAAGAGTTAGTTGTTTTTGCAAATGGAATTTTATCATCTGTTCTTTAAAATTACTGATAGAGGCTTGACAAGGTCTAGAAAGCAAAGGTGCTTGCTGGCAGGCATGACAACTGAGTTCATTCTTTGGGCCTCACATGATAGGAGAGAACTGCTTTTCTTGCAAGTTATCCTGGCTTCCACAAGTGTGATTGGCATGCACACACACATAGAAGTAAATAAATAAAAGTTAAAATGTTAAGACTCACTGATAGAATTCTTAAGCATTTTTACCAAGTTAGTCAGAATGTATCCCTTATGTTTACTTTTCTTTGCTTGGTCTTATAACACAGGTCCTTATAAAGGAAGTTTGTGGGCTGTTTTGTATAGGTATTTTTGCCCTCTGAAGATCTGTGCCATAGGTGTCTAGTGTGCCTTCTGCTTGCCATTGGGTTATGCAGCAAGTCACAATCCTGTGATTTCTGAATTGTTGCCCTTTATTAGTGTGACTTAGTATATAGAAGAGTGCTGTGTTCTGGGAGGGAACGTTTATTCGAGTCTGATGAAAAAGTCTAAGTCTGCAAATGGAGGATCAGTGAGCCCCAAACACAGGAAATACCAAATCACATCAAAGTAAAACTTGAAGGTCTGGTGAGAGGGCTCAGATGGTGATGGTCCTTGGTCTGTAAGCCAGCAATGCAGGGTACTTGTAAAGGTGGACAGAGGTCAGCTCCTCTGACTGTACCTGGACTCTGGTGCACCCATGCACACATACAATAATAAAATAGTTTTTAAAGTTGTTTAAAAAAAAAAAACCTTTAGGACACATAAAATCAAAACTAATTAAATGGAGAAAAAAATCTTAAGAGCAACGAAAGGGAACAGTGACATGTGGGGTGTGTGAGCGCTCTGCTGAAAGAAACTGCCACACTGGTCAGAAGAATGGATTCCTCTCACAAGGCCCAGGGCAGGCAGCAAGTCAGGCCCGGTGCTGCAAGCCTACCCTCCTGTGACTGCTGGGGGTTGGCTGGGCTTCTGCCTGCCGCTTGTGCCAACATGTTCTTACTGGTCCTGTCTGTCTATGGTTCCCTTTCATCAGGACTCGTCTGGTCAGGGTCCCATCTTACTCAAGCATCTTAATGACTGATATGAGGTCACACTCAGAGGTATTAGAGCCTGTGAGGGATCTTTTGGCATCCTAAAATTTACCCCCATGTTTACCAGATTAAAATAGCAATAGATGGTTGTTGTGTGACACTTTTCCTGGGGAGATGCAACACCTACTCATAGAAATGAAACCTATTCCAGACCAAAGTAACGATTACACCAAAGTCCAACTTAGTGAACCAGTGAGTCTATGGGGGTTGCTAACAGGAGTGTCGGGGAGGGGTTGCTTACAGGAGCAGAGATGACCCAGAAATCCCACTGCAGCATGGGTGATGAAGGCTGCGGCCAGCCTGGAGCTTCCTGCCCAGGTCTTCGGGAATCTCTGCAGCAAGGCTGGTCAGTCTCCTTAGCATTTATTGACTGCATCTACAGAGAATCTGAGAATCTTCCAAGTTTCTGCTCTTCTGGACAATGTGGTATAAGATTGAGGTAAGATCACTTGCCACCAAGCCAGACAACCTGCAGTTGATCCCCAGGACCCACATGGCGTGGGCAGAGAGCAAACTCTTGCAAGCTGTCCTCTTGTCCCTCTACATAAACACTTTGGCACATGCAGCCACCACTCCCCCCCCTCCATGTACACAAGTAAATGTAATTTTTAAAAATGAAGCTTTCTTTGTTGCACATGATAGGATCTGATAGGAAATTCTAGGAAGGGATCATAGCTTTTCTATTGCTGCAATAAAGACACCATGACAAAAAGCAACTTGGGGAGGAAATGGCTCATCTCATCTTAGAGTTTGTAGTCCATGCCCATGGGAAGTCAGGGCAGGAACCTGGAGGCAGGAGCTGCAGCCACAGGGTCGCGGTGCTTACTGGCATGCTCAGCCTGCTTTTTTATACGACGCAGGGCCACCTGCCCAGGGATGGCACCAGTCCTAATGGGGCTGGGCCCCTCCACAGCAATCAAGTAAATTCCCCACTGGGGAATCCGGTGATGTCATCCTCCAATCGAGGTTCCCTCCTCCCAGATGACCCTAGTCTGTCAAGTTGACAAAAATCCAAGCACCAGGATGGAAGAAAGTTCTGTTTGGGGCAATGAGTGGAGCTGGAGTCTGGTGCACACGGGAGAGGAGTCTTTCAGTGACAGAAATGGTGTTCCTGCCGGCTTGTCTCCATGATGCACGCTGGCAGTGAGTGGCTGAACAGAGTGCAAGCTTGTGGACTCCCATTATAATTGCTCCTATTCTGCCGGTGGAGTGGAGAGTAAATTCATTCTCTCTGTAAGCAGGAGGCAGGTTTAGAAATTGTTCATTATTGATAGAGCTGACAGCCTTCAGTTTTGCACTATTGCTTCGTAGCATCCTACTGTGGAGAATCTTGATATTTAGGAAAGTCTCTATTTTCCCAGCAAATGTTTTCATGTGATGCCCTCGAGTGCCTTGTTGCTTGCAGGAGTACAGGGAGAACGCTGTCTACTGACTACAAACAGACCATGTTGAAATTACTTGGTGATACCATCTTCCCTCCTGGTTCACCTGGAAACTAGCTTAGGGGACCAATCATTCTCTAGTCTAAAAAGGGCACAGCACCCCCTAATAGGCTGTGTGTGAAGTCGGTGGGACTACTTGGGGAAGCCTAGACTCCCTCCTGCACAGCAGATCTAGAATGATGTGTTCAAAAGTGGCATCTGATGCCCTCTGTCCCCCTAGAACCCTTCTACAAGGAACTGTATCTCTGGCCACCAGATGTCTGATTGAGTGTTCCAGTCAATGACCATCTGCTCTGCTGTAGTCTGAGCTCTCTCCAGGTCACCAAGTAGTATCCTTCCTGTGTCATTCCAGATTTGGTCAAAAGCAGAGACTACAATTGCTAGCAGGGTCTATTGCTTACCCTACTCCAAAGGCATGGCTGCCTCTCTTCTCCCAGAAGTTGCTGAGATAGATGTACAGCCTTTTCTCTCAAACTCTTAAAGTGGTCTACAGCTGAGAGAGAGAGAGAGAGAGAGAGGACATGCACACACACACACACACACACACACGTAAACAGGTTTGGCAGTAAGCAACTGTGGGGAAGCTGTGACATCTTGAACCCATGTCTGCTGCCTTGGCTTGAAATCAACAGGCTGAGGAGTCAGGAAGAGAAAGTGATCATCACCAAATGACCAAGTCGGGCTGGCCCCACAAAAGCAGATGAACTTGTGTCTTCAACCTACAGGGTGTGAGTGTTGTACGGAAGTGACATCATCTGTGGTGTTCCTTGTGAGATACTTTAAAGGTGTGTTACATTCGTCTATGGTGTGGAACATTTGTTTAATGGTGCAAAGATGTGTTGCATTCTTTTAGGTTACATTTGTTTAACTGTAAAGCTGTGTTACTTTGTCTGCCTGAAACACCTGATTGGTCTAGTGAAGAGCTTAATGGCCAATAGTTGGGCAGGAGAAAGGATAGCCAGGGCTGGCATGCAGAGAGAGAATAAAGGAAAGGGGAGGGGAGGGGAGGGAGGGAAGGGAGGGGAGGAAAGAGAAGAGAAGAGAAGAGAGTGAGAAAAGGAGGAGAGGGGGATGTCAGGGCCAGCCACTCAGCCACTCAGCCACACGGCCACACAGCAGACACAGCCACTCAGCCACACAGCCACACGGCCACACAGCAGACACAGCCACTCGGCCACACGGCCACACGGCCACACAGCAGACACAGCCACTCAGCCACACGGCCACACAGCAGACACAGCCACTCAGCCA